CCCGACACCAGGTAACGACTGCATCCAGAAACGCACGGGTGATACATTGTCTGTAGCAAGACGTAACTCCATCTTTAAAAAGATGCACCCGTGAAGGCTCTTTTAGGGGAAAAAGCTCTTTCAGCGTGCGGGGGAGATGGTCACCTGCAACACAAACGGGGTAGTGCAGCCTGATGTGTGAAACCCACTCGACACGGAAACCACCACTGCTGAAGCGCCGTACCTCCAACACGAAGAGCTCTCAAAGAGCGTGCTGAACTCGTTCAGTCTTCTCTCAGTAGAGTAATCAGGAGCAAAACGATGTTATCACTCGCCTCCGAAGCGAAAAGCTGGTATGCTTTGCACCGGCTGCCTTTTTATGCTCATGCTGTGATCAGCGGCAGCTGGATTGCAATCATTGTATGCCAATGTGCATTGGCCTGTTTATTTTACACTCAAAGTAGATTGGTCTCTCTAAGCGAGATCCCAGTTCTTCGGTCACCGACGTGACGTCGAGAGTGATCGACTGAAAGGGAACTAAAATTAGAAAAACATTTTTGCTACTTGAAATAAAATAAACATTAACTGAAATAAAATTATTTGTAATTTCAGCTAATTGCCAAAACTAAATTAACTTAAATTAATAATTAAAAATAACTATATAAATATATAAATAAAGTAATAACTATATAAATAATTAAACCATGTAGACATAAAAAAAAACTAACAAATAAGTACTAAAACTTGAACTACAATTAAAGTGATAATAGAAAATACATAATTCAAATCTAATTTAAAAATGTAACAAAACTATGATAGTATATCAATTATACTAAAACACATTGATATTATTATAGTTAACTAAAACTATGGCCATTAATACAGACCCTGGACCACAAAACCAGTCATAAGGGTCAACTTTTTTGAAACTGAGATTTATACGTCATATGAAAGCTGAATAAATAATCTTTCCGTTGATGTATGTGGACCCATACAATGTATTGTTGGCTATTGCTACAAATATCCCCCAGCGACTTAACACTGCTTTTGTGCTGCAGGGGCACATATTAGGGATGCACGACATCTAGTGTCATTTAGTTTGCAATAAAAAACTAAATTTTTTTTTTTGTAGATATTTATATAAAGGAAAAGTAAAAACAGTAAATCTAAATAGAAATATGTGTGTTCAGGAGGAATGGCGGCAGGTGTGAGCGGCGTCTCAGGTGTGGTTCAGGTGGTGGACTCTCCTCTCCTCAAACAGCAGATCGACGTGCAACGACTCGCCATCAAGCAGCTGAAGAGTGACAACTACAGACTGAAGGTCAGTGTGAGCCACTCCACACACTCACGCACTCTCTCACACACACACACACACACACACACACACACACACTCACTCTGTAACCTCTGACCCCGGCAGGCTGAGAAGATGCAAGCGCAGCTGTCGTCTCTGCCGCCGCTGCAGCCAGTGAACATGACGGCAGTGAAGGAGGCGGCTCCGGCTGGATCTCTGTACCGCAGAACTGATCTGCTGCTGAACAACCTGCTGAAGATGAGCGCCGGCCTCAGAGTCGTCGACATCAGCGGGAAAACCTCAGGTGAGCTACCACTGCATCACATCAGCTGCAGCAGCTCAGAAAATCAGTCCCGACTCAACTAACACGGTTCCATAGCTCGTGTGGTGGGTTTTTTCCCTTTTTGGAATAATATATTTATAATAAAATAAAAATGTAAAAAAACATTTTATGGAGGAAGCACATTTCCGCCATGCAAGAAAAAAACCTATGCCTTAAAAATTTTTTACAATAAGTCATAATTATGATGTAAGTCAAAATTGTCTTTAAAAGTCATTAAAAAAAATCTGAAGTGTAATTTTTTTTTGGTGAGAAGAAAATGTTTGCACAAGAAAAGTTTTTGAGATTTTTTTGATGACCGAAAATTCCTTTATAATAAGGGAAAAAAGGTTTTTGATTAGAAGGAAGAAAATGCTTTTTGATGAGAGAGAAAACATTTTTTTTTATAAGGTTTTATATAAGGTTTTAATATCTGTGTTTGCAGCGAGTGCGAGCGCTCAGCTGCTGGAACAGACGGCCAAGATGAAGTCTCTGAGCGACACGCTGGACAAACTGAAGGTCAGTGTGACGTGCAGTGTGATCTGATGAAGCGGAGTGTGATCTGATGAAGCGGAGTGTGATCTGATGAAGCGGAGTGTGATCTGATGAAGCGGAGTGTGATCTGATGAAGCGGAGTGTGATCTGATGAAGCGGAGTGTGATCTGATGAAGCGGAGTGTGATCTGATGAAGCGGAGTGTGATCTGATGAAGCGGAGTGTGATCTGATGAAGCGGAGTGTGATCTGATGAAGCGGAGTGTGATCTGATGAAGCGGAGTGTGATCTGATGAAGCGGAGTGTGATCTGATGAAGCGGAGTGTGATCTGATGAAGCGGAGTGTGATCTGATGAAGCGGAGTGTGATCTGATGAAGCGGAGTGTGATCTGATGAAGCGGAGTGTGATCTGATGAAGCGGAGTGTGATCTGATGAAGCGGAGTGTGATCTGATGAAGCGGAGTGTGATCTGATGAAGCGGAGTGTGATCTGATGAAGCGGAGTGTGATCTGATGAAGCGGAGTGTGATCTGATGAAGCGGAGTGTGATCTGATGAAGCGGAGTGTGATCTGATGAAGCGGAGTGTGATCTGATGAAGCGGAGTGTGATCTGATGAAGCGGAGTGTGATCTGATGAAGCGGAGTGTGATCTGATGAAGCGGAGTGTGATCTGATGAAGCGGAGTGTGATCTGATGAAGCGGAGTGTGATCTGATGAAGCGGAGTGTGATCTGATGAAGCGGAGTGTGATCTGATGAAGCGGAGTGTGATCTGATGAAGCGGAGTGTGATCTGATGAAGCGGAGTGTGATCTGATGAAGCGGAGTGTGATCTGATGAAGCGGAGTGTGATCTGATGAAGCGGAGTGTGATCTGATGAAGCGGAGTGTGATCTGATGAAGCGGAGTGTGATCTGATGAAGCGGAGTGTGATCTGATGAAGCGGAGTGTGATCTGATGAAGCGGAGTGTGATCTGATGAAGCGGAGTGTGATCTGATGAAGCGGAGTGTGATCTGATGAAGCGGAGTGTGATCTGATGAAGCGGAGTGTGATCTGATGAAGCGGAGTGTGATCTGATGAAGCGGAGTGTGATCTGATGAAGCGGAGTGTGATCTGATGAAGCGGAGTGTGATCTGATGAAGCGGAGTGTGATCTGATGAAGCGGAGTGTGATCTGATGAAGCGGAGTGTGATCTGATGAAGCGGAGTGTGATCTGATGAAGCGGAGTGTGATCTGATGAAGCGGAGTGTGATCTGATGAAGCGGAGTGTGATCTGATGAAGCGGAGTGTGATCTGATGAAGCGGAGTGTGATCTGATGAAGCGGAGTGTGATCTGATGAAGCGGAGTGTGATCTGATGAAGCGGAGTGTGATCTGATGAAGCGGAGTGTGATCTGATGAAGCGGAGTGTGATCTGATGAAGCGGAGTGTGATCTGATGAAGCGGAGTGTGATCTGATGAAGCGGAGTGTGATCTGATGAAGCGGAGTGTGATCTGATGAAGCGGAGTGTGATCTGATGAAGCGGAGTGTGATCTGATGAAGCGGAGTGTGATCTGATGAAGCGGAGTGTGATCTGATGAAGCGGAGTGTGATCTGATGAAGCGGAGTGTGATCTGATGAAGCGGAGTGTGATCTGATGAAGCGGAGTGTGATCTGATGAAGCGGAGTGTGATCTGATGAAGCGGAGTGTGATCTGATGAAGCGGAGTGTGATCTGATGAAGCGGAGTGTGATCTGATGAAGCGGAGTGTGATCTGATGAAGCGGAGTGTGATCTGATGAAGCGGAGTGTGATCTGATGAAGCGGAGTGTGATCTGATGAAGCGGAGTGTGATCTGATGAAGCGGAGTGTGATCTGATGAAGCGGAGTGTGATCTGATGAAGCGGAGTGTGATCTGATGAAGCGGAGTGTGATCTGATGAAGCGGAGTGTGATCTGATGAAGCGGAGTGTGATCTGATGAAGCGGAGTGTGATCTGATGAAGCGGAGTGTGATCTGATGAAGCGGAGTGTGATCTGATGAAGCGGAGTGTGATCTGATGAAGCGGAGTGTGATCTGATGAAGCGGAGTGTGATCTGATGAAGCGGAGTGTGATCTGATGAAGCGGAGTGTGATCTGATGAAGCGGAGTGTGATCTGATGAAGCGGAGTGTGATCTGATGAAGCGGAGTGTGATCTGATGAAGCGGAGTGTGATCTGATGAAGCGGAGTGTGATCTGATGAAGCGGAGTGTGATCTGATGAAGCGGAGTGTGATCTGATGAAGCGGAGTGTGATCTGATGAAGCGGAGTGTGATCTGATGAAGCGGAGTGTGATCTGATGAAGCGGAGTGTGATCTGATGAAGCGGAGTGTGATCTGATGAAGCGGAGTGTGATCTGATGAAGCGGAGTGTGATCTGATGAAGCGGAGTGTGATCTGATGAAGCGGAGTGTGATCTGATGAAGCGGAGTGTGATCTGATGAAGCGGAGTGTGATCTGATGAAGCGGAGTGTGATCTGATGAAGCGGAGTGTGATCTGATGAAGCGGAGTGTGATCTGATGAAGCGGAGTGTGATCTGATGAAGCGGAGTGTGATCTGATGAAGCGGAGTGTGATCTGATGAAGCGGAGTGTGATCTGATGAAGCGGAGTGTGATCTGATGAAGCGGAGTGTGATCTGATGAAGCGGAGTGTGATCTGATGAAGCGGAGTGTGATCTGATGAAGCGGAGTGTGATCTGATGAAGCGGAGTGTGATCTGATGAAGCGGAGTGTGATCTGATGAAGCGGAGTGTGATCTGATGAAGCGGAGTGTGATCTGATGAAGCGGAGTGTGATCTGATGAAGCGGAGTGTGATCTGATGAAGCGGAGTGTGATCTGATGAAGCGGAGTGTGATCTGATGAAGCGGAGTGTGATCTGATGAAGCGGAGTGTGATCTGATGAAGCGGAGTGTGATCTGATGAAGCGGAGTGTGATCTGATGAAGCGGAGTGTGATCTGATGAAGCGGAGTGTGATCTGATGAAGCGGAGTGTGATCTGATGAAGCGGAGTGTGATCTGATGAAGCGGAGTGTGATCTGATGAAGCGGAGTGTGATCTGATGAAGCGGAGTGTGATCTGATGAAGCGGAGTGTGATCTGATGAAGCGGAGTGTGATCTGATGAAGCGGAGTGTGATCTGATGAAGCGGAGTGTGATCTGATGAAGCGGAGTGTGATCTGATGAAGCGGAGTGTGATCTGATGAAGCGGAGTGTGATCTGATGAAGCGGAGTGTGATCTGATGAAGCGGAGTGTGATCTGATGAAGCGGAGTGTGATCTGATGAAGCGGAGTGTGATCTGATGAAGCGGAGTGTGATCTGATGAAGCGGAGTGTGATCTGATGAAGCGGAGTGTGATCTGATGAAGCGGAGTGTGATCTGATGAAGCGGAGTGTGATCTGATGAAGCGGAGTGTGATCTGATGAAGCGGAGTGTGATCTGATGAAGCGGAGTGTGATCTGATGAAGCGGAGTGTGATCTGATGAAGCGGAGTGTGATCTGATGAAGCGGAGTGTGATCTGATGAAGCGGAGTGTGATCTGATGAAGCGGAGTGTGATCTGATGAAGCGGAGTGTGATCTGATGAAGCGGAGTGTGATCTGATGAAGCGGAGTGTGATCTGATGAAGCGGAGTGTGATCTGATGAAGCGGAGTGTGATCTGATGAAGCGGAGTGTGATCTGATGAAGCGGAGTGTGATCTGATGAAGCGGAGTGTGATCTGATGAAGCGGAGTGTGATCTGATGAAGCGGAGTGTGATCTGATGAAGCGGAGTGTGATCTGATGAAGCGGAGTGTGATCTGATGAAGCGGAGTGTGATCTGATGAAGCGGAGTGTGATCTGATGAAGCGGAGTGTGATCTGATGAAGCGGAGTGTGATCTGATGAAGCGGAGTGTGATCTGATGAAGCGGAGTGTGATCTGATGAAGCGGAGTGTGATCTGATGAAGCGGAGTGTGATCTGATGAAGCGGAGTGTGATCTGATGAAGCGGAGTGTGATCTGATGAAGCGGAGTGTGATCTGATGAAGCGGAGTGTGATCTGATGAAGCGGAGTGTGATCTGATGAAGCGGAGTGTGATCTGATGAAGCGGAGTGTGATCTGATGAAGCGGAGTGTGATCTGATGAAGCGGAGTGTGATCTGATGAAGCGGAGTGTGATCTGATGAAGCGGAGTGTGATCTGATGAAGCGGAGTGTGATCTGATGAAGCGGAGTGTGATCTGATGAAGCGGAGTGTGATCTGATGAAGCGGAGTGTGATCTGATGAAGCGGAGTGTGATCTGATGAAGCGGAGTGTGATCTGATGAAGCGGAGTGTGATCTGATGAAGCGGAGTGTGATCTGATGAAGCGGAGTGTGATCTGATGAAGCGGAGTGTGATCTGATGAAGCGGAGTGTGATCTGATGAAGCGCAGTGTGTTCTGATGAAGCGCAGTGTGATCTGATGAAGTGCAGTGTGATCTGATGAAGTGCAGTGTGTTCTGATGAAGCGTAGTGTGTTCTGATGAAGCGCAGTGTGTTCTGAAGGTGTTTGACGGTGTGTGTGTTTGTCTCAGGCTGAAGTGTCGCAGCACATTGTTTCGCAGCGGCCTGGAGCTCGTGTGTCGTCTGACTTCGCCTCGTTCCCCTCCGCCTCTTTCGTCAAGGTAAGGGCGCACAAACACATTTCTATAGCTCCATGAGTGTGTTCCGGAATAACCCTGCAGACGTGTGTGTCTCAGGCCAAAGCGGAGCAGCAGAGCGGCTCGGTGCTGGTGGGGAAGGTGATGATTCCCTGCTCTCGCGGCGCGGAGCAGACGCACTGCCTCGTCCTGTCGCAGAGGCAGCTGCAGTGCGTGCATCACCTGCTCATGACGTAAACAATCCCACGCTCTCAGGAAACATCCGGCGCCAAAGACGCATTACTGTCTTCTGATCCTCCAGCGCCTGAACACAGCCTTCATCTTTCTGACATGGGACAAAAAAAGTAAAGTAATTGTGACTTATCTCCCAATTCTGACTTTTTTTTTCAGGGTTGAGACACGTAATTGCAAAATAAAAATGCCAAAAAGTCAGAATTGTCAGAAAATAGTTAAATTTTTGTGATGGAAAAAAAAACAGAATTGAGAGATGTAAAAAAAATGCTATTCAAAGTTATATCGCATACGTTTTTCTGGTAATTTCGAATTTATATCAAGTTAGAATTGCAACAAAATCGTGGAAAATGTATAAGGGATAAAAAAAATTTATTTCAAGATGTAAACTCAGAATTACAAGAAACAGTCAGAATTGCGAGAAAGTAAGCCATAACTCTGAGTTAATATCTCACTTTTTTTTTACTTTTTTCCTCATAATTCTGAGTTTACATTTTTGTGGCGAAAAAACTAAACAGAATTGCGAGATATTAAATCTGAATTATGACTTTTTTCTCTTGTAAATTTGAGTTTAAATGTTGCAATTCTGACTTTTTTCTGGCGATTCTGAGCCCAAAAGTCAGACATGTAGTTAAATTTTTTTTTTATTTTTGAGGTGAGGAGCGCACAAACACATTTCTATAGCTCCATGAGTGTGTTCCGGAATAACCCTGCAGACGTGTGTGTCTCAGGCCAAAGCGGAGCAGCAGAGCGGCTCGGTGCTGGTGGGGAAGGTGATGATTCCCTGCGCTCGCGGCGCGGAGCAGACGCACTGCCTCGTCCTGTCGCAGAGGCAGCTGCAGTGCGTGCATCACCTGCTCATGACGTAAACAATCCCACGCTCTCAGGAAACATCCGGCGCCAAAGAAGCATTACTGTCTTCTGATCCTCCAGCGCCTGAACACAGCCTTCATCTTTCTGACATGGGACAAAAAAAGTAAAGTAATTGTGACTTATCTCCCAATTCTGACTTTTTTTTTCAGGGTTGAGACACGTAATTGCAAAATAAAAATGCCAAAAAAAACAGAATTGAGAGATGTAAAAAAAATGCTATTCAAAGTTATATCGCATACGTTTTTCTGGTAATTTCGAATTTATATCTCAAGTTAGAATTGCAACAAAATCGTGGAAAATGTATAAGGGATAAAAAAAATTAATTTCAAGATGTAAACTCAGAATTACAAGAAACAGTCAGAATTGCGAGAAAGTAAGCCATAACTCTGAGTTAATATCTCACTTTTTTTTTACTTTTTTCCTCATAATTCTGAGTTTACATTTTTGTGGCGAAAAAACTGAACAGAATTGCGAGATATTAAATCTGAATTATGACTTTTTTTCTCTTGTAAATTTGAGTTTAAATGTTGCAATTCTGACTTTTTTCTGGCGATTCTGAGCCCAAAAGTCAGACATGTAGTTAAAAATGTTTTTAATTTTTGAGGTGAGGAAAAAAAAAAAAGCACTGAGAGATGTAAACTCAGGATTGCGGGAAAAAAAGTCAGAATTCTGAGTTATATCGCAGTCCTGACTTTTTTCTTGTAATTTCGAGATTATAGCTCACAATTTAGAATTGCGACATAAGATCTTAGAATTGGAAGATATAAAAATTATCAAAAACAAAAAAAAAAACGTTTTGTGGGAGAAAAAAGATTTTCAAGATGTAAATCAGAATTACAAGTAAAAGTCAGAATGGCATTTCTGAGAACGAAAGTCAGAATTTCAAGATATGAATTCAGAATTAGGAGATATAAACCTGCAATTGTGAGAAAATGTCATGTTTTTTTTTTTTTTCATGGTGGAAACGAAAAAGAATTGTGAGATGTAAACTCAGCATTGCGAAAAAGTAGATCACGCAATTTAGATTTTTTGCAAGTTTGCAAGACGTTTTCTTGTTGGTTGAATTATTCCTTGAACAGAGGAAGATTTACTCGAAGCTGAACCCATGCAGTCAAGCTTTTAAATAGTTGAACTTTATTAAGGTAATACCATAACGCTTTCAATACTTTAAACGGTTCACGGATATCTTTGCTTCCATGCTTTGGTTTTCTATTTAGTCTAATCGTTTGGTCTCACATTTCATATAACGAGGCATCAAGGTTTGTTTCTTGTCATTTTATGAATAATCTTTTGGTGAAGGAAGTTAAATTGGTAAGTGTACTAACGCAGCGCTGTAGGAAAGAGATCAGTAGGTTTCGATGATAATCGTAGGTTTGCACCAGTTACTCACTCATATATTAGCGCTTCATTAGAGTTAAAGGACCAATCAATCAAGAGCCACGACTATATATGAGGCACATCGTTTGAGCGACACTCATGATTTATGCAAGTCAGAAGCACAAGTGTGCTCAGTCACTCTTTCCTTATTTAACACCGTTTGCAAATGTTTTGTGACTCTTCTGATCTTCTCTCTAAATGATTTGCTTTCATTCTCTTGGATGGTTGGTTCAGTGTTTTAATAGTTTATGCATTTGACAGGTTTATCAAATGAAACGATTGCAATAAAGTTGAAAAAAAAAGTTTTTTGTTTGCGCTTGAATTTTTTATCCACTCAATATTTAACTTTGTTAACAAAAATAATGCACAGTATCCTGCTCTCAAACTCATCTAAAGCTTACTTTTGATAACACATGGTTTCTGTGAGTATTAATTCTTTCCACAGATTAAGGCCTCATGAATCGTCATATGCTTAAATTCATAGTCATGACATTATATGTTGCATGCACTGCAAAAAAAAATTTTTTTCTGTACTTTGTCTTAAGAAGTCTTTTAAGACCTAGAAAAATGCATGCAGAAACCTTGATAAAAGAAATGCATACATTTGTAAGATGTACACTAAATGCATAAATCTAACATGTAAATGTACAGGTGAAAAAATCCAGAAATATGATGCTAGAACAGACGTTTCAGATTTAGTGTTTGAGAAAAAAACTAGTTTATTTTCCCTTTTGTATGTGATGAAAGTGCTTTAGATTGAATGTGCAAATCACAACGAGCAGCAACAGGATTTCAAACGAAACGAGTAACAAAAGGAGCATTCTGAAACTGTTCGTTGGTTTAGGATAGTTCAGATCATAGCATGTGATTTCAGTGCCAGCGTGTTAAACAGATTCCTCAGAAAAAGGCGCTGAAGAAATCGAGTTTCTCGTCTTCAGTCTCTGCATCGGCGCAGAACGGAGGAGGAACTGCTCCGGGTCCTCAATCCCCTTCACCGCATTTCAAAATTATTACTACGGTCAGAGAAAACTCTGCAGTGATTGATACAGATGCATAAAAACAATGTAGATTTGCTTTTGTCAGTTTATTTGTATGCTTCTTATCATATATGAACAGTGGCTTACGTAGTGACGACCCAATCAGTCCTTGCACTGTAGTAAAGCATCGACACTGGGACGCAGCCGAACTCTGTGACTGGCCAGATGTTTACCTGGGGGAAAATCATCAACTAAAGGCATGCAGTGATTTTAACTGTACGCTCCACTACAGTTCTAATGGGAACTACTGTAGATGACACATTAATCGGCATTAATGCATTGCTCATCTAAAACACTTCAGCTGGAAACCGTATTTGCAATGTTTTTCACTTTGCAATGTGACCGATTTCCGAGAAGCAGTATAAAAATAAAACAGAACTTGTAGGATGCGGTTTGATTTCATTGATCAGTCTTGTTTTATGAATGTAAAATCATTCTGCATCTTACAGATATGTTTATTAAATATTTATATAATAGATTTAATAATATAAAAATACAATATTTTTTATTTTTATATTATTTTATGGTTTCTTTAAATACAATTTAAATATTTTATTTAATTAATTTTATGATTATATTTCACTTTATAATGGTTTCATTAATAGAAAAACCTCTTAAATGCATCATACAGATACTTACTTTTATTATAATTTTTATTTATTTTATATAATTTTTAAAATGCATTTAAAATCATGTTTTATTCCTTATTCAGCTTTATGACTACAATTATTTTTATCACAAAATGCGTTGCATCCTGTTTTATTAATGGCAAATTATCTTAAATACAATCTGCGTCCGACAGATATTACAATTCTCATTTTATTAGAACTCATTTCTGTTACTAGTTTCTTCAACCTGTTGAGTTAGGGTTAAATCCACAAGACATTCACCTCCAGTCTCAGGTACGTCTCCCGTCCAGGTGTTGACCAGCGCTGATGATCCTCCCAGCAGCACCTGTGACTGCAGCGAGGCATTATGGGGAATGTGTGAGGCGTGGAGAGGATTCTTCTGACACGTCCGGTTCCTGTGGTCGATGATATAAACTACACCCTGAGCAAATCAATGAAGAAAGCGTTAGAAACACACATTTAATTATATGACAGTATGTCTGGACATATGGAAGCCCATTTCTGTCACGTAATTTAAAAAAAACAATGTTTTGGTAAATCATAAATATTACTTAAAGAGTTTTATAATTATGAGATAATTGATATAACATAAGTCAAATTATGAGTCAATTATGAGATAAAAAGGCAAAATTGTGACGTTATAATTTTGAGATAACTGAGATGATGACAAAAAGTCATGATTATAAGATGAATAATTGAAATTATGACAGTCATAATTATGAGATAATTGATATGACATACAAATACATAATTATAAGATCAAAAGTAAAAAGTCATAATTATGAGATAATTGATACGATGACATAAAAAGTCATGATTACAAGATAAATAATTGAAATTATGAGTCAATTATTAGATAAAAAACGTCATAATTATGAGATAATTGATATGACATAAAAATACATAATTATAAGATAAAAAGCAAAAATGATGAGTCAATTATTAGATAAAAAGCCAAAATTATGACAAGTCATAATTATGAGATAATTGATACGATGACATAAAAAGTCATGATTACAAGATAAATAATTGAAATTCTGACATAAACAGTCATAATTATAAGATAAAAAAACAAAATTATGACATTAAAAGTCAGTTAAGATTAACCAAAATTGACAAAATGTCATAATTATGGGATAAAAAATAAAACATGACCTAAAAAGTCAATTATGAGATGTCAAAATCATGACAAAAAGCCATAACCATGAGATAAAGAAAGTAAAAATTACAACAGTCATAATTATAAGAT